GAGGAGTACAAAGGTGCGTATTGTATTTCTTTGGTGTGAGTACATCTCTCATTTCCATGCATGTAGATATTCGTCAGGAGCAGAGCAAAGCGCGAAGAACCCTCCTTTATTCATGGATAGATTTACGTCTTGCCGACAAACGCATCAACGAGCTGAATTGGGCCCTTCCCCACCCAATTTCGTCCTCGACGCCCGTTCCAGAGGAAGAGTCTCGCAATGAAGGCGTAGTCCAATCTACTCTCGCGGATCGCACTTTCCAGCTCTCCTCCTCGCCGCGTCCCGTCGAACCTAGTCCCGTGGTACCTGTCCTCCAGTTCGCTGCCTCGTCGTCGTCCCCTTCGGTCGTTTCGAGCGAGTCTACGGCAAGCACAGTTGACAGAACCCATCCGTCGTTCCCGGATCTGCGCGATGAGCTCGTTCGTTTCGCTGCTTCTAATTCTGAGGAAGAATTCCAGCTTCCAACGTCTCCGGAAAACTCTTTCTGTGACGATTCGGAAGACGAGGTGGAGAGAATCCTATCCCCTCCTCAAGTTTCCCCACCCAGCGCTCCTGTGACGCCTCAGGCTGCCGCCCCGACTCCTCCCGCGCCTTTCGTCATACCCGTTAGAGAGCAAAGCACCGAAGAACTCATTTACGACAGTTCTAGCGGTCAAGCACGGCTTGCAAGCCTTGGCCCTGACTTCAAACCGATGGAGGGCAAGGGGTGGACCGACATGGCCCCCTTGCCGCTCTGGAACGCGATCTCCCGCGTATGCGAGGATGAGTTCCACCGGAACCCTGCCGATTTCCACGGGTTTTCTTGGGAGCTCGCTCTGCTGCGCCACGAAGTCCAGAGCGTCGCCTTGGACGAGGGTGTTTCGAGTTCTTCCACTTCGACGCCTCTCCCTAGCCATGGATCCCTACAAGGACTGCATGCTACGCTTGACTCCGGGAAATGGGGTCGTCTGACGAAAGAGAAGTTATACGCGCGCGGCCGACTCATCAACTCGGATTCCTTCGACGATATGGCTCGCGTCGAGGAGGGCGTCGTCTTGTAATCTATGTATCACATTTCAGTAAGTTCACGATCGACTCGGGTGTTTTTCTTTGTTGATCAATGGCCCTGTAGTTACCATCTAGGATGCACGATGTGTCCTGTCCCCTCTTTTCATATACCCCCACTTTTACCTTCATAGTAAGTCGCTCTCGTCGTTTATAGTGTCCTTGATGATACGACTTCTATTAGCTATCAAAGGACGCATCGTCGTCCACGACGCTCATTCAAACATTTTCACATCTCTATCCCCCGGTCCCTGTTACATACCGTTCGTCTCGACCGATCTCTTCGTAGGAAGCTGAGGTTGACGACCTTGTCAAATTCCTCATTATTCAGTTCATTTCCTGTGAGTGTCCGTGGACCTTAATATCGTGCAATGCTTACCGGGCATTCTCTCTAGCCATTTGGCGGGTGCACCTGCTCCCGTCGCCGCCCCCCTTCAAGTATTACCTATAGTATATTCCGTAATTCACCACTATTCCTTCGGTTCTGGAACGAGGGAGGGCCCGCCCTCATCCAGGTACCGCATCCTCTCCACCCACCCCCTTGCTACCTTCGGCTATGTTATCGGTAGGTTCCCTGTCGTGTGCCTTCTGGACTATTTTACTGACTGTTCCATGATAGATGCACCGGTCGTTCTTGCTATCAACGTTTTCGTCCTGCTCTTGCCGATCTATGTCTTTGTATCCATATCGTTCCATCCATCTCGCTGTATCTATATTTGCTCGGTGAGCCCTACATCGCGTTCACATTTATTGCATACTGATTCATGCTATTGATAGATATCTACCGGATGCGCCTGGTGTGCTCCGTACTACTTCCTCCTGAAACATCTCTGACTGGCTTATTTGTCGTGAGTTTTCTTTGAAGTCAGGTGTCCTTCGGTATCTGATAGTGCGATTAAGTCCAACGGACGCATGTTTTACCGTCCCCCACGTTCATTCAATATCTTCTTATCTCTCTTTGCCCCCTGTTACGTACGCATGGAGGCCCTGTTACGCTCCCCGACACTCGTTTATCATGTCTCTCTTCCCTTGTTTCGGTCTATTATCTGTAAGTCTCACTGTCTTCTTCACCGTTTCCGTTGCTCATGCGCCTTCTCTAGTCTAACGGACGTGTCTTGACCGTCCTCTACGCTCATTCAACTCTCTGTCCAATGCTCGTCTCGAAAGCCCCTCTGCTGGTTGCCGTCTCCCTTCGTAAGTCCTCGGTGTCTTTTCCTCCCTCAGGAGCTCATGGTTTGTACATAGTCCAACGGATTGGTCTTAACCGTCCTTCACGTTCATTAAACTCAGTTTCTGTTCCTTTTTCTTACTCGCCTCCCGAATTCTGTAGATGCATGTATCAGTATGAAAGTCTGTATCATCTCATTTCCAATCACCCGATTCCTGCTTCGTATATATATTAGGTCAACTGTCATCGTATTGGAACTCCTAGACACTGTAGACCATTCATTTCATTCATTTGTAACTGTACCGATGTACTCTCAAGAGACATGTATCATATAATGTGTACAATAATGTATTAGAACAGTCCGCCCAGCGTATCATTAATTGTAATAGCCACAGACGATCTCGAAATAAAAACGTTACCACACTCCTCGCGCACGTACATATGCTGAAGGGTCAGGACGTATGGTCGAATCTACAAGTCGGCACAGTCCAAGATTAGAGACGGGTGCTTCCTCGTCGACGGCCCGCATGGCAGTTGCACCAGTAGTCACTACCACACCTCATATGCGACCCCCCTCGTACCGGAAAGGGGAGTCTGTGCCACGCTGTCCCCTAGTACATTGCATGGGACTGACTGCGGACGAGAGAGGGCTGCAAGTGTCCCCATGGAATACGTCCGGCAATGGAAGCGGCATACTACACCTCGGCGGACGTGGTACCTTTCGAACACGATCCACGTCGAATAGAATGATCTGTCTGGTGTGGTCGTGTGTTCAGCGATAGTATGTCCGTAGGAAGCGTGCCCGCTACAGATGAGTCGCAGTTGCAGCGTGATTTGCGACGCTCTTCAAGGCTGTCCAGACAGTGTTAGAGAATGCATTCAAAGATCCATAAGATCCTGAGGCCTGAGGGCAAGTAAATCCCACGGGCCGTCTGCCGTTGACCATGAAGACGTCGATCGCGAGTGCAGCGCACTATCAACGCTGTACTGTTTCCATTGATAGCCCCTCCCCTCGATTTCGGTAGGACTGCGAAGGAGGAAACAGAGAACTGCTCCTGGACTTAGTGTGAGTACATCTTTAGAGAATGATTGCAAGAATCGCCTCTTGGACGCTTCGGCCGCGAGTCTTGAGGGTGATAAAGTGCAGCATACACCAATAACCGCCATGAAAAGTGTCGTACGAATGGTTTGAAAATGATTCTTGGGTCGAAACACTCTCTTAGGGTGTCGTTGCATGCCCCTCCAAAGTCTTCGTGAGAGTGCTTGTCTCAGGGTGCAGATCGCAAGAACCTGGAATCGGAAACCGGACTAACTGCTCGACCTCCAGCCTCTCTCAGGCTGCTTCTCAAATACAAGTATGCGATGGGATATGGGGATTCAATCTTTCACAACTCAATGTAAGACCCTCTTGGCCTATAGGGTTAGAAACTGGCGATCGATGTGACCCCGGACCTCCGGTGAGTCACATCTTGCTTCAGCACCCTCGCTTTTCCCTTGCTCACTCATTCACAGGAATGACAGGAAAGACCCTTTGATAAATCACTGGGTGCTCGCGCCCCCCTTATAGCAAGTGCGGTCGGGTCGTGCCACATTCCTAGGTATAGCAGAAATCTGAACCTCTCGAGGCATTGCAATGTGGACCAGACCTCGCTCGTATTCTGCTGAGGGCTGACGAGAAGAGAGACTGGATCGCATCTGACAACCGCGCGAACCAACCCTTGCCAGCCTCCCGCCGTGGTTCAAAAGGCGAGCATGCTCGCTCGACTGCTCCATCCGCATCTTCAACAATCACCACGACAATAACGACAACAGTTCCTACATCCATGTTCTCATTCGACTTCAGCTTCCTTGGCTTCGCCGCCGTGAAGCGCTTCGTCGTGCGCCTCTTCGACGGCACTCCTTCCGCACCCGTCTCCAACTCTTCGCCTCCAGTCGTCAAGACATTCCTGTCCCCTACTCGCACGATCCGCGAGCCACCCACCAAAGCGCAGATCTCCGGAGGTTCTGGCTCTTTCGATGCCCTCGTGGCATTCATCGTCCTCTTCATCGGCTCCACGTTCCTTCTCACTTCCTTGGGATCTCGCAAACTTCGGGGCGGACCATCGTCGAAGTGGTACAATGATATTCTCATTCATTTCATTCACTACGTGTGCCTCGTCATGGCACTTGCCTTGGTAGACGATGCATGGGCGCAAGTGTGTCGCTTGTATCAGGCGTCGGCGGGTTTTGCTCGATCGCTGCTTGGTTGGATGGTTGCTCCAGCATTCAACTATGGGGTGTTTCTCGTAAGCATATGGGTCCATTAGTTCTTGCGTGTTCTGATGTAGTTCCAGGGTATCACTCTCAAAGACCTGGGTAGCTCGAGCGGTCGCAACGAGGTCTTCGTCCTTATCACTCTATTCCTTCTTGCCGTGGCTGTGATTTGGGTCACGGTTTGCCATGCGAAGAGATGGGTCTCGGACCTCAAGATGGCTGTTGCGTTGATTCTACTGGAGTTGGGACTCTGCACTCGAGGCTCCGCGGGTACTACTGGTTACACCCCAGCTTCTCAAGTGATGCTCGCTAAGGTAGACTAGATTGCATTCCTATCCCGCGAAATGGCTATATTGATCATCCCGTCAGCTGCACTCCGGACATGCGAACACGAGGATATTCGGTACCCCCACCAGTGTTGTTGAAGAGGGTGAATTCGACTTCGAGGACGGTCAGATCGACATCGACGATATCGACGGCACTACCTCCCAGAGCAGCGACAGCGATCTCAACTATGGCTCCCTCGACGAACATACTCCTGCTCCTTCCGTGTTCTCAGGGTTCGACTCTCGATCGATCTCCGCTGTCTCTATAACCCCCTCTGCATCCGAGGTTTCTAACAATGCTTCAGATGCTGCGAGCAAGGACGGGGACGAGTCCGACGATGAGCCCGATATTCTCAGGGATCTAGCTAAGATGAGGGCGGAGGACCCGAAGAATGAATTGCTTCGTCCTCCTCCGGTTCCCCGTGACCCTTGGGATCTCGACTACGATGAGGAAGCGTCTCTCGAAGAGGTGGAGGCGATCATCTCCGCTCCTGCTGCGCCCACTGTCAACGTGGAACCTAGCAGCGAGTCCATTGAGGTCGACGTCCCTTCCCCTTCGAGCCCCCTGGACACGATCGCCGAGGCTGATGAAGACGAAGGTCTCACTGAAGGCGACATGAGCGTCGAAGTCGAGGACTACTCGAAGCGACCCACTCTCCCTCTCGTGTGCGCTCTATTCCCTCACGGCGTCCTGATCTCTGGGCGGGAAACTCTCGTATACGATACTCCCAGCGGCTGCGCTCGTCTGCCGACCCTCGGTCCCGACTACAAGCCCATCGAGGGCAGCGGTCGGCTCGACACTCCTCCTCGCCACCTTTGGGAGAAGATTGCACGCGCAGCGGAAGCGGCGTTCCACCGTGACCACGCTAAGTTTGGAATGTGGAACTGGAGGGACTATGCGAAGGAGCTCGAGGCCGAGGACGCCCTCCCCAACCATGGGTCCCTCCAGGCTCTCCATGATACCTTCAACTCTAAAGGGTGGGACCGTCTCTCAGGAGAGTATTTCCAGGAGGGTGCCGACCTCGGATATTCTGACTCGCTCGATGACTTGCTCCGCGCAGAGGATGGCGTGGACTTGTAATTTGATCTAATATTATGGTGAGTATGTCCGTCGAGCGTATCATGAGTTTCTGCTAAATATCTTGGGTAGATATACTAGTATATGGCATGCCACCAAGGGTGTACCGTCCATTCTTTTTGTATACCCGTCGTTTCCATCTTTGTGTGAGTTATTTTCTCGTCGAAGTGTCCTCGACTGAACGTCTCTCCGTAGACTGCACTGGATCTGTCCTTGCGATCCGCATCTTTATTCTGTTTACCCCCTCCGTAATACATCCACTCTCCCCCTCCCCTCCCCACCCTCTTTGTACGATATAGCTTTATCTTGGGTTTCTATCCGTAAGTCTTTCTTGATGCATCGCTGGTTAGGACCACTTGCTCATATCGTTTTCAGAACTACCTATAAACACCGAAAAAAATCGAAACGTTCAAACTCAAAAACAGCTCAAACACCCGAAAATCTCAAACACCCAGAAAATCTAAAGACCAAAAAATATAACACTCTTCCCCTCATATTCCTCGGTGAGTAGATCTGTTGTGTTGACGTTCGCCCAATGATAATGAGACAGTTTCTAGATAGAGATCTTGAAGGCGCTTTACGCTGTCAACTACTCGCGTTCGCCGACATTTATCCTGGTTCGACTGGGCATTCCATATTTTCCCCGTGCCTTGTGGGAAATCGTGTCGGGCCAACCCGATTTTTTGCACTGCACACCCCTCCCCTCCCCCTGTCCTGCTGTATCGGTGAGTCAACTGCGATGTTTTCAAGCGGAAGCCTTGATGACATCGTTTCTAGATAAAGTCCAAAGCCAAAAAACATCGAGAAAAGACCCTGATAATCGCAGCGGCTCCGGTCGCAAACTCTTGGTAAGTCCGTCGTGTATTGAAACATTTCCGATATTTACGTGACTGTTCAGTTATCCAAAGGCCGCGCTCTATGCCGTCCACAACGCTCCTTAGATTCATCTCCGTCCTCTTTCGACTCCGTAACTTGCCGACGATCCCCGTGTGGCGCTTGGTCGAGGGCATGGGCAACCCGACGCTTCGCAACGCACTTCCACTATCAACGTATTTCTTTGCCATCATGACGCATCACCTGCTATTGTTCTCTATCTCTCGGTGTGTACACCATTATTTGCGATATCTTCCACCAGTCTTACAGCGGCTTTGGCAGCTTTCCAACGAACACGCTCTATGCTGTTCTCCACGCTCCTTCAACTCAGTTTCTATTCTGTCTCGGCTCGGTATCCATCTACGACCCCTGTGCGGCGCTCGGTCGAGGGTGTGGGCAGCCCTTCTTCCTTGCAATGCACTTCCCCCACATTATCCCATCAACGTATCATTTCTGCTTCATCGTTCCACTATAACAAGGAGTTCTGATTATATCCTGTTAAATGTATACATATCTGCGTCTCGTATCCAATTCTCCGCTAGATTAAATCATATATTCTACCATTCTATTCTCCTAGAACAGCCTCTTAGATTGATACATCACGTCTGCTCTATGTACCATAGTAATCGTGGCCGTACCACTTGCACCGTAGAACCTGTCGAATCGGACCGTCTCAATACGTCTCCAGTCCATCACATTATTCACTAGTAGTCTAGGACTAATACTACTAGAAGTTGATAGTATATTGGTATAGCTTGAAGTAACCGGATGAGAAGGCTATTCCATTGATATCATCCGAGGAAGGTACTTCAGTGTGGCACACCGGGACCGCTGTACGGGGTTCGAACTTGAAGGTTGATATGTAATGACTGGCACCGTTGGGAAAGGGCAAGGCAAAAGAGAAACCTCAGCTAACCTGCCTGCGTCTTTCATGTTCTCCATTGGAGCCGATACCGCAGGATCATCCCGCCACAAGACGTTCTCCGAAGTTTTCCCGATGGGGTGATGGGCTTACGCGTTCGCCAGTGCTTTACTACCCAGTCTGCGGACTCTCCCATCTCAACTCACGGCTCAGCATAAGTACTAGTACTCATACTGACGATCGTCTGCTGCAAAACTGTCGAGCTCTGCTTGTTGCCATTGCCAGTGGATACTGCATCAATTCCGCAAGTACTGGAACGGGGCCAATGCAACACCGCTGCAGTCAGTGCCGGTATTACTTTAGTCTTAAGGCCCCTGGTAGGATGAGAACATAGGATGTACTGGGGAGCCAAAGGTAACTTCTTGTGGAACGCGAGCGAAATGCTGTGTGTTATTCGTGAATATGATCCTAAAGAATGACCCCTCTTTGAGATCGGTCTTTGGGACCATATCCGCGGCAATATCTAACTTGGACGTGCCAATGGGCGTCCGCTGCTGTATGCAAGGCAATAGTAGTGATTTTAGGGTGCTGCAAAATACGGTACTCTGGAGCTCCAGATAGATATCATCGTAGACTGGATCTGCCGATCGACCCTTCGGTATGTCACACCATCCCCCAACCATCCTCTTTGTCGTCTCCTGATACTTAATGTTGACGTGACACATACACTGACATACGCTGACATCGTTTGCGTTGGGTGGTCACTTTCCAGGCTTCAAGGGTTATGCAGATACGCTCCCACGACCTTGACGAACACGCCCTCCAGCCGTTGCGTTGTGGACCGGTCTTCTGTCGCTCGACGCCATGGCTGACGACAAGGGCTGACCGAGAGCTCAACCGCGGCCGGCTTGTCAGCCTCCCTTCGAACGTACATAAGAGGCTCGTGTAAACTCGATCCATCCCTCCATCATCTTAATCCTCTACGACGACCATCCACGACAACTACGACAACAGTAACGGGCATCATGTACTCTCTCGGCCTTGACCTCTTCGACTTCGCCGCCGTCAAGCGCTTGGTTTTTCGCACCTTCAGCGGCGGTAATGCTCCCCCTCAGGCCGCCGACCAGCCTCTCGCGTGGGTTAAGACTGTCCTTACTCCTACCCGTACCCTTCGCGGAACCCCCACCACGACGTATGGTGCTGGGTCCTCTGGCACTATCGACAGTATTTTGGCTCTAATCATCTTCATCACTGCCTCGTTCTTCCTGTTCACTTCGGTCGGCCCTCTCAGACGCCAGGGCGATGGCGCCGTCTTCACCGTTCAGTGGAGTTGCGAGCTCCTCTCGTTTCTCATCTTGATTCCTCAGTTGTTTTCCATCAACGTCGCTTCAAGTCTATCGTCTCACGCCTATCATTGCGTGGTATATCTCATCCAATCCTCGCTGCGTGTCGCCTCCCGGCCCCTTCAGCTCGCCCTATTCCTCGTTTTCGGCCTTCAGGATCTTCATAGCGCACAAGTGGTCAATGAGAAGGTGATTCTCACCTCGGCGCTTCTGTCCTGGTTCCTCGTCATCTCCTCGGCCTTCCACCTCTCCTGGAGCCTTCTCGCCAGACTTAATCACTGGCATACGGGGCATTCGCGTTCTGCTATCTCTTCCCTCGTCTCCGCCGGTGTACTTGTCGCCTCATGGATCGCTCTCCACAATTTAGAGCACAAGTTCCACCTCAATGCCGTCCCTCGAAGAGGACAGGAAGGCATGTTTCCAATGGAGGCACACATGACATCGGAGGCCGTCTTGATGGCGTTGGAAGCGTGGACGTTTACTGTGTGGTATTGCCTGGGCATTCCGGTTCGTTCTCACCTAGATATATCAATTTTGCATCGCGCTAATCTTGCCTAAGAACACGCTTGTGAACTCGGCGGGAAGGATTACGAAGGTCGTCCCTGCGCCTTTTTCATTCGCTCTAATTTTTGCCGTGGTCATCAATGCGTCGATCCAGGTCGCAGCCAGATGTATCAAGACCCGTGTCCGAAAAGTCCGATCGGAAGTCGCATTCATCCTCCTGTCGTGCCGAATTTTCACCAAGGTCCCTTACTATGCTAAGTATCACAGTGGTGCTTCTAGAGTGGTCTTCTCTTCAGTATGTCATTCTCCCCGCTTGGTTGTACCGACCACTGAGAATCTCACTCCATCAGGGTGTTCGCCGCCGATCTATCGCGGCGCCCGTAATCATGCCCTCAGTGGACAGTAACGAGAGCTTGTTCGGAGGTCTCCGTTCTGCGCTCAACGCTCTGAAGGAGGAGCGGGAGGAGGACTACCGGGGTGAGTAGGTCAGATTTGTCGAGATGCCCGGAGTCTCATACGGTTCTACATAGATGTTCGCCGAGAGCAAAGAGAAGCACGCAAAGCCTTTTCGTGTGCTTCTACTGGGATGAGAGTTGTGGCTGATAATCTACGAGCGCTAAATGCACTGCTCCCCGCTGCTACACCAACATCGACGAGTCTCACAACGGACGTACATCACAGGGAAGAATCCGTCCAATACAGTTTCCTAGACCACTTCTCGCCATTGTCCACGTCGTCCTCGGTTCGCTCCAACGGCTGCCCTCCTACAGCAAGTACGTCGGACAACGGGGAAGACTGGCTCCAGGCACACCTTCCCCCGCTATCGGCGTCTCCGTCCGCGCTTGCGGACAATTCCTATAGCTTCCTTGCCAACTTCTCTCCTATGTCCACCTCGACGTCTGTTCACTCGAATGGCAATCCCTCTACACCAAATACGGCGGGCAACGAGGACGACTGGCTCCTGGCACACCTTCCTGCGCTGTCGGCGTCTGCGTCTACACTTTCCGACGGTGCCTCCGGCTACACGAGCGATTCGGACATCGACGAAGGGAAGATCAGTGCCATTGCCGCCGAATTCGCGGCTCTCCACCCTGACTGGCGTATGGAGGACGCCCAAGGCGATGAGGAGTACGTCTGGGACGACGAGCGTCAAGACGCGGAGGCGCAGTACGAGGAGGCACGGTTAGCGGACGACTTCGACGAAGATGTCCTTCCCAGCTCAGATTCGTGCGGCTCCGATATGGACCTTGAAGAGGAAGACTATTCCAACCGGTCTCGTATTGCTGTCCCCTCTGTCCCAGCAGCCGCCTTTACGCGTAGTTCTCTCCAAGCCCTTCCTAGCACCTTCAAGACCCGTTTCTGGGGGGCGGTTACCGATGAGATGGAAACCGCATTCCATGCCACTGCGAAGGCTTGCCCGGTCTTGGTCAACTGACGATTCGGCACCAGTCGAGGAACAAGACATCCTTCAATTATTTCTATAATGCTTCATTTGTACGTTCCTCGGTCTTTATATCCATATTGGTCGCTCAATTACCGTTCCACAGATGTTCGCGGATGCTATGTGTTAGTAGCATTTTGCTTTACCCGTTTCATCCATGATTTATTTTTATCTTGTGAGTCCGATCTTCATCGGACTATTGACCATCTACTCACAATGTCGTGATAGTCCAACGGACGCGTCTTTACCGTCCACGACATTCCTTCACCTCTGTCCAGCCCCCCTTCTAGTAGTAATAGTAGTACCCCGTAATATATCCACTGTCCCGTGTTGTGCGAGATCGAGGGAGGGCCCGCCCTCGGCTTCGCACTACATCCCTCTCCCCTCCTGTAGCGTATTGGCGTAATGTATCTGTATTATTTCCCTTTTCTCTGCGTCATCTATGGGACTGTACTTGTATTTCACGCATACCCATTTCTTGTCTCTGGATATGACCCGCCTAGATTGTATTTTTCCTCCTTGTATCACATCATCTTCTACAGCATCTATAGCAGTGCATTTATACCTAATCGTCGACAGCGTAAAGGAACATAAGGTCGGGGTCGGAAGAGCGGGATAGCAAGGTGCGTGGACAACACCTGGGTGAAGAGCACCGATATTGCCGGATACAGGATGATTCTGTAGAAGAATGGGTATTCTCGCTTTCGAAAATGCTCGGCCACGAGGTCCTGGAGAGTAGAATCGGGGGTTGAGCGTGTCCAGAAGATAGCGTCGAGAGCTGGTTCAGCAGCGTCGATCTGTTAAGGCGTATATGTACAGCCGTTACATGGGTAGTATGCCGATACGCAGACAATATTGTCTCCTCACACCCCGAAGAGTGCTCGCCGGAAGGCTTGCCGCACTGTTACACAGGTTACGAACAAGCCGATCATCATGCCTCCTGCATATGCAACCGCCTATGCAAAGGAGATGGTGTAATGGCCAGTTCTCACATGCGAACACGAGCGTGCCGGCGATACTCGTTATAGCAAGAAATGATCTGGGTGGGGGGAACGCATAACGCTGTCCAGGGCCACAGCGCCAGACCTGCGGATCAACAATGAGAGAAACATACGAAGCAAGCCGGGACGGCGTTCTGATTCAGGGCTGGTATAGAGCACCTTTCCTCCAGCACGGAGTTGACAGGGTACCAGATGCCGTCCCAAGCCCGGTAGAGACACTTCCTAGCCCACATACCGCGCGCGATGAAGCGTTACAACGAGGCTTGGGAACATGTGAAACTCCTAACCCGTGCTGCACACAACAATCGCAAAAATAGCACAGATACCGACAACCCACCCCCCCCGCCACACATACACTCACTCAACGGCCCATCAAACCTCCACCACCCTTCCCGCGTCGAACCCCACGCCCCTCCGCCCCCTCTGGTTCGCGTACACCCTCACCCCGTCTCTCACAAAGTCGCAGCACCAGTGCGTATGGCCGAATGCCCACAACGCAACGGCAGGGTGCCAGCACGGCTGCTGCGACAGATCGGTCGCGTAGCCCGGCAGACTCCTCACTCCGTCGAAGGTAGAAGGGTAGTACGCGGGATCGGAGGTGCCGAGGAGGAGTGGGGCGTGGTGGGTTAGGACGATTATGCGGCGGGCGGTGTTGGCGGCGAGGGAGGGGACGGTGGAGTTGAGCCACGCGAGGTCGGCAAAGTGGAGGGATTGATAGACGGCAGGCGTGAGTGATGATACGGAGGTGAAATCTTGGATGGGAGGCGTCGTGAGCCCGTCGCTCCCGGATGAGTGACGCAGGTCGGACCAGAGCGTGCACCCGAGGATGGTGAGCGAGTCGGAGACGTCGTACTGGGTCCGATTGAGGATGACCAAATGCCCAGAAGAATTGGCGTTGAGCGAGTCGGCAAACGACTCGAGCGTTCGCAACGCGGAATCGACGGCCGTCCCGTACGGCTCGTGATTGCCCATAACATAGAATACAGCCTTGAACTTGTCAAGCACGCCCGCGAGCCAGGGAAAGAGTCGTGGATCGGTGGTGCGAGCGACATCGCCCAGGAGAGCGAGATACTCGGCGTTCGCGGGGACGATGTAGTCGAATGGGGTGCAAGTGTCACTGTCTGAGGGTGACTCACCCAAGTGGAGGTCCGATATGATTTGAATACTGGAGGCCGTCGATGCTGACATAGCCGCGCTCGAGCAAACAGAGTGGATTACAAATGAGCAATGTATTCGGAATACGTACTATTGACATATCAACGATGCTGGAGGCGGATAAACTTCCCATAACATCTCCAAGACACTTGGATGGTGTCAAGCAACCAACGTTGTCAATGCAGAACGGATGGCGAGTGCATACGGATAGAAGCGACGACGAATACTCAGAAGACGTCTCGTTCACGACTCGCCATGATCATGACTCGACTTGCTTCCGCGGAGGTGGCTGTGCCAGCCACACTGCCAAACGCTACGGCCACATCGCTTAGGATTTCTCTTGCCTGCTTCAATTACCACCGGAAATCTACCGGATGTGATGAAACAGATATATCTGGTGCTCGCACTTTGTGGCCTTCGGCAGAGTACAGAACAAAGTCACGTAAGTAGTGAGCAAGTTGTGGATGATGAAATATTTCGTTCAGATTACTTCGAATGTTTTTGCCATGTCGCGATGACATTCCACTGGCCGTAGCAGAAGGCAGAGCCTGCTGCTTACGGACGGTGTTGCTGCACCGATGTCAGTTCTGTTAATCCGATCCACGTGAGTTGAGATAGTATGGCCCCAAACAGCTCGCAGCACTGATATATGTATATTTCATGTAACAGGAAAACCATGTGTGCAAAACAAAAAGACATAGAACTAAACAGATCAGTATAAGGGAGCAATACGATTACGATGAGATCTCATTCTTAGCCTTCTTGACTTGTCGGTCGATGGCGTCCGCGGGAGCATCAGACGAAGCACCGAGTCCAATGGAGCGCTTCCGAGCAGTAACCTCGAGAGCTAGCTTCTGATCACCGTCCTGGGCTGATTCCTCCGGAAGCGTCCTTCCCGACGCAGGGTTGCCGGTCGGGACGGAGTCTTTCACGTCCTCGGAAGTGTTGTGGGCTACGGGTGCTGACTGCTGTCCGGCTTTCAGCAGAGACGACTTCTCCTCATCTATGGCACCGTCTACCAGACCTAAGAACTCCTTGAAATGCATTTCCATTTCCTCGGCGGGAGGCATCTCAGCTGCAGCCGTGGCATGAGTGAACTATCTCTAGGAGTCATCGTGAATGAACTTACGAGGGGGAGAGGACTCTGTAGTCGGAGTTTGGCAACGCCCTAGCTTGGCGTCCGTTTCTTCCCCAAAGGCCTTCGCGCGCTTGTCCCTCTCAATTTCCTTCTTGGTACGCATCTGAGGGCGAATTCTCATTCTTCTCGGCAGCGCGACGCGCATGAAGAAGCTCTTCATCGCATCGATCAATTTTCCAACAACGGGGCCCAAGCCTTGAGGGTGTTGCGCGAACACGCGATTATCCAGGAAGCACAGTTTCGAGGCCATAGCAGAGGAGGGCCGTGCAGTATTCCAGTCAGATATGATTTCTGGTGAGACCTCGAGGGGGACGCCAGGGCTCTCGCTCGTAAATGCGATCTGACATAAGCTGTAGAAGCTGGATTCCAGGTCGTCCAAGTGGTCATGGAAACCGAGTGACTCAAGGACCTTGACGGACTGGAAGACTCGTGCACCCTGTGGATAAAACATAAGCGCCCTCTCTAACACTCGAATGCCGGACTCACGATCTTTGCGTTCGCAGCTGGACCCTTACCGTCGCTGTCCACGAAGGCAGCTGTGTCAAAATCGATTAGAATGCCCCGCCTACCCTCACGCACGTCCGGCCGATTATTGAGAAGCATATTGTCCGGACTGACATCCCGATGGACGATGCCGCGTTTGGCGAGCTCAAACTGGGCTGCAGCACTGTCAGGGAGGATCAACGAAAGGAATCCGGTGTGCGTACCCTGGATAATATCCCGAAACGCTTCCAGGAAGGCCAAAGTAGTTGGTGCATACCGCAGAGAAGGACCATAATACGGCTGCAAGATATAATAGTACTGGCGGTTGTTGGCATCTTCCTCTCCTTTATCAACAAATCCAATTCCTCCACGAAGTGAAGAAATAGTCTCCATTTCAGAAAGCTGTGAGCGGCAGATGATCTCGCCAACGCCCGGGATAGGGTCTTCTGCGATCTTCTCCAGGAACTCCCACTCTAGCCCGCGCTCGGGAGTTCGCCAAGCAAATTTGAAGATGAGGTCCTCCCCGTTCTCGTTCTGCGTATGCCACAATGTCGTCGCTTTCCCCCCTATTCTCTTGCTCCAATTCAAGGGGCTGTGCACCATGTATGTCCCGGCTCCGTCCGTAGCAGGGCGGAAGTACCGGCAGTGACCTTCCCACTGGATACGGGTATCAAAGCCCAGATTACCTTCGTCTGCAGTGGAAAGAGCCAGGATAATCTTAACGAAAGTTTCTGCCTCTTGATGTATGTTGATAGGACGGGAATACAAGACACCAGCCCGATCAAACTGGAAGACTTGGACAGTACGTTCAGTCATAAGGAGACTGTAGACAAAGCGCCGATTCGGCTGATGCACAAAACATGAACGAGCATATACCGCCAGCTGTATTCGATCATCCTCGGGCGCCCGGTCACTGCCTGTGACTGCGATAGGTACCGCAACATGGGTGTAAGAGGGCGGGGTCGGAAAATCTTGCTGGAAGGCAAAGGATGGACCGTATCCCATCAGCGAGAGGTCCGGTGTTGTCGTTGGCTCGGTGTTGAATCTCTCACAAGAATCGGGCATTTCTGCCTTGTACGTGTACTCCACCTTGCGATTGATGACACCAAAATGGTGGAGGATATCGTTCATTGTCTTTGCCAGTGAGTCGTATGGCGGGTCTTCAGGTTTATGCGGGATGTTTCTCCATCTCCACCACATTGGAGGACCTCCTCGAGTTTTCTTCTTGGTTACCCCTCGCCCGGAACCTCGGGACCTGGCGCCTCGTACACGTCGTGCCCGACTGCCTGTGGCCGATCCGGAGTCAAATTCGGCATACTCCGATAAGAAATCCTGGATTTTCGAGTCCGCTGGGATGTCAGGATGTTTCTCCTCGCTCGTCAGGAAGTCAAGGAACTCTTGTCCTCCATCGACCCAGGAGCCGTCCAGATCCGAGCGTATGAACTGCGCCAGTCTGTCCAACTTCTCTTGAAGTATATAGAGGGAAGAGGAGTTGCTATCAGAACTAGAGGAGCTTTGGCCTGATTCCATCTTTATTTTTGAGCGTTGTGGGAGACGGCGCGAGCTTGGCTGTGGCACCGACTAAAAGTTCTTCCTAGACACGTAACCCGTCCTGAGCTGCAGATGAACGGCAAGGTGGTCGAGGGGCAATAGAGAAACGCAGTACTATAGATGCTGGATAGTTGTCGGGATCCGATATGAGGTTTGTAGTACGTGGTGTATTGGAGAACCGAGAGCCAGACCTATGATCGCGCAAGCTTCAATAAACAGGTGACATAAGTTCAAACAAAAATAGTTTTCCAGTGACTGAATAACCCAGGAGTAGAGGGACTGTGCTCGTGCTGAGGAAGAGAGGGTTGTGGCTGATGTGTGGCTTCACTGTAACATGTGGTTCGAAGCCCGTATGGAATTCACGGTCCGATTCGGCAACTGCCGAATCTTCTTTCCCTTCGGACGAGTGTGTTCCGTCCAACTCTGGACGGAAAACTCATCAAACTCGGAAAGCATCTTTCCAACGAGCCTCTCGGTCGGCGTTGCTATCGTCGCTTGCACGGCACTGCTGAAGATCAGCAGTTCTGCGCCCGCGATGAACTGGCGTCGGCTGGTGCTGCGCAGTTACGGCTGTTATATGCATATATAATATTCAATAAGTTCTCTGAGCATACGCGACTCAACTCTGCGTCTCGTCACTCAGACACTCACTATTCCGGATCGTGCAAGTTCTAATGTGCTTATCCGTGTTCTTTAGCGGTCGAGAGTGGTTAAGTAACTTCTAGAGAGGTTATTGGGACTCGAGGTGAATTGTGCAACGGTGCTGACTCTCCCTTGCCTATGTATCCCTTGTGGCGATAAGTATCTCACATTTATATTTTTTGACCATGTTTGTCGTGTTAGTGTGTGCTGCGAACACTGCCGCGGCCAGTCCATGTCTGTCAGTGCACTCGGACCTGAATCGAACCAGCTGAATTGAAGCTGACATCACTCGCTATATCTCGAGGTACTGAAAATAACTCAAATAAAGGCACGAACAACGACCACAGGATCGACAGAGCAATATGACTACTTGATATCCTTCTTAACTTTCTTGGTTAGTCGGTCTGGGGCTTCCGCAGAGTCATCGGACAACGACTCCCGTTCAATTGGACGTTTCGGATGAATACTCTCTGGGGTTGGCTTCACACCACCTTCCTTGGCTGACAAAACATCATTGCTCGGGACGGTGAGGATCACGTCCTTATCAGCTTGGCAGGGTGCGGGTGCTAACGTCTGTTTGGCCTTCGACGACAGCGACCTTTCGTCGGCGATGGCGCCGTCTACAAGTTCTAGGAACTCCTTGAAATGCACTTCGATTTCCTCAGCAGGCGACATCGTAGCTACAGACGAAAATCAGTGAAGCATCTTTGCTCGTCATCAGATGAACTCACGAGGGGGTGAGACTTCAAGATGCGCATCTACTTTTGAGACGACGGCTTTGACATGTTCGTCCCTTTTGATTTCCTCCTTGCTACGTAGTGAAAGGCGTATCCTCTCGGTTCGCGGCTCTGCAACGCGTTTGAAGAACTCTTTCAGGGAGTTGATCAATTTTTCGATAACGGGTCCTAGGCCTTGGGGGTAGTGCTTGAAGACATGATTGCTTAGGAAGCACCACTTGGAGCACATAGAAGTTTCATCATCCGCATCCCAGCGCTTGAGGAAGTCTGGCAAGGGACTCCTGAGGGGGACTCCCGGGCTCTCGCTAGTATATGCCAACCAACACAAACTGTAGAAGCTGGACTCCAGATCATCCAAGTGGTCATGACAGCCTATTTCCAAAAGAACCTTGATCGACTGAAAGGCCCGCGTGCCCTGATGAAGAAGTATAAGGGCCGGTTCAAATGCTCTTTGCTGAACTCACGTTCTTCATACTCGCTGCTGGGCCTTTCCCCTGCCCATCAACAAATGCAGCTAGGTCAAAATCAATAAGAATGCCTCTACTCCCTGCATGAGCATCTGGCCGATTATTGAGGAGCATATTTCCAGGACTTATATCCCGATGGACGATGCCCCGTTTGGCGAGCTCGAACTGGGCTGCGGCAGTGTCAGGGACCATCATTTCGAGAGACACTAACGTTACCTTGGATTATGTCCCGGAATGCTTCCAGGAGGACCAGGATAGATGGCGCATGCCTCAGAGACGGGCCATAATAGGGTTGCAAGAAATTATAGTATTGACGGTTGTCGACATCTTCCTCTCCGTTGTCGGCAAACCCAATCCCGCCACGAAGCGAAAAGACAGTCTCCATCTCGGAAGGTTGCGAGCGACAGACAACCTCAGCAACGCCGGGGATAGGGTTTTCTGCAATCTTCTCCAGGAACTCCCACTCTAGGCCGCGCTCGGGGGTTCTCCAAGCAAATTTAAGGAGGAGCTCCTCACCGTCCTGGTTCTGCGTGTACCAGCATTTTGTTGCCTTCCCCCGTAGTATCCTGTCACCCCAGTTGAAGGGACTATAGATCATGTACTTGCTTCCTCCGTCCACTGCTGTGCAGAAATACCGGTAATGGCCGTGCCACTGGATACGAGTGTCGAAGCCCAGTTTACCCTCATCCGCAGTGGACAGCGCCAGAATAATCTTCACAAACGTTTCTGCCTCTTGATGAATATTGACAGGACGAGAATACACGACACCGCCCCGATCAAACTGGAAGACTTGGACAGTACGTTCAGTCATAAGGAGACTGTAGACAAAGCGCCGATTCGGCTGATGCACACAACATGAACGAGCATATACCGCCAGTTGTATTTGATCATCCTCGGGCGCCCGGTCACTGCCTGTGACTGCGATAGGTACCGCAACATGGGTGTAAGAGGGCGGGGTCGGAAAACCTTGCTGGAAGGCGAAGGATGGGCCGTATCCCATCAGCGAGAGGTCCGGTGTTGTCGTTGGCTCGGTGTTGAATCTCTCACAAGAATCGGGCATTTCTGCCTTGTACGTGTGCTCCACCTTGCGATTGATGACACCAAAATGGTGGAGGATATCGTTCATTGTCTTTGCCAGTGAGTCGTAGGGCGGGTCTTCAGGCTTATGCGGGATATTTCTCCAGCCCCACCATGGTGGAGGACCTCCGCGCTTCCTTTGCTTGGCTTCCCCTCGTCCAGAGCCCGTGCTTCGGGACCTGGTACCTCGCCCGCGTCGTGCCCAACTACCTTTGACCGACCCAGAGTCGAATTCGGTATACTCTGATAAAAAAGCCTGAATTTCCGAGTCCATTGGTAAATCAGGACGGTTATCCTGGCTTGTCAAGAGGTCGATGAACTCTTGTCCACCATCGACCCAGGAGCCGTCCAGCTCTGAGCGTATGACGTGCGCCAGTCTCTCCACCTTCTCCTGAAGCATATAGAGGGAAGAGTGGCTATCAACATCAGAGGATTTTTCACCCACTTCCATCTTTGTTGGAAATGTTCAGTGAGGTTTGGGTGTTGTGGGCGATGGCACGGGCTTGGCTGTGGCTCTGAGTAGTTCTTCCTTAACACGTTAATGGGCCTGAGTTGCACTTCAATGAAAGAGTGATTGATGGGTGGAGAATTGAATTACTTTCGATTGTGGATGGTTGTTGTTGGGAGCCCGTTATGAGTCGCGTAGTATATGTGGTGCGTTGGAGAAGCCACGAGACCGGGAGCGAGACTGATGATCGCGCAAGCTTCAATAAACAGGTGACAGAAATTCAAAAAGATAGTTTTCCAGAGATTGAATAGCCCTGGAAGAGAAGGAACTGTGCTCGCGCTGAGGAAGAGAGGGCTGGTCAGTTGTGGCTGATGTGTGGCTTCACTGTGGTTCGAAGCCCGTATGGAATTCACGGTCCGATTCGGCAACTGCCGAATACCCCTCATGATCAGGCTCTCGAGGTCACTGATGAGTGAGTGAGAGACTGAGAGTGCGAGACGATGACGCTGTATCAAATTGGCTGGTGTATAGAATATCTCACTCGCGCCAGATTAAGTTATAGGAAGCTGTGAGATGTGCTCCAACACCGCACCTTCAAGTGTACAATGTTCTTCGACCATCCGTCAGAGAAAGTCCGGGTGGCTCGGTAATGATAGGGAGCATATGTAGCTGGAATCGCGTGGTAGCCCCCCCCCCGCCCCCCCAAATTGTTCTGTACTTGGTGAGATCGACAAAGACTGGGATGGTGAACTCATAACTTGCTTATTCTATTCTCCTCTATGCCTCAGGTCGGAGACCCCCCTTTGGCATCTTCCGACCTAAAAGGATTCGTCTCTCTGATCAGGTATGCTTCCCCCAAAATTGTTCCCATGGTACTGCTGAAGAGCAGCAGTCCCGTACCGTCGATGAAGCGGTGTCAGCTTGTGCGCCAACCCAGCACATGCTGCAGGTACTGAGGTTCTCCGAGTCTGGTATGTGCGTATATACTTTCGATATGTTCTCTGACATACGTGATCCAACTCTGCATGTTGTCACTGCAGAGGGTCTCTATTGAGGATGGAAACCATAATAGGTGCAAGTTCAACTGTGATTATCCGTGTCCTCTGGCAGGAACGCATGGCTGGTCTGGGCGCGCTGCCAGCGTTGGGGAGAACATGCCTCGGAGTAGTCGTTCGTACAGCAAAACAGCAAGGCTGGGAGAAGATCGGAAGGAGCTCACCAAGTATCCCTGTCAATGGAAATCTCCCAGAGCGCGATGGGAGGGTCACGCTCCTGAAGACGCAAACGACATCAGACCGTATAAATCTTTTTATGGCGCCCAGGCGAGATAGTTACACACGGTTGAATTTCGCTCCCAGTGCGCGAGTGGCGTACCCGAATTTGGAGGCAGTGCGTGAGACTGGACGGCTGGTCTCTGGACATATAGCCACGGAACTGGAATAATTGATACTTTACGTACCTATGGGTACTGGGAAGTTCATCACCCGCATGAGTCAACCTCTACCTCACGCATCACGTTCTAAAGAGCAGCACACGAAAGTCGAGCAGCGAGCCGCAAGAATTAATTAAGCAGATTTATCATGTTAGTCCCGGCTTTCCAGCATACTAATAGCACGACCGTCACTGTCTTGGAAAAGGGGAGAGGCAACAAAATGTACACAGAGTCTGGGCCACAACTCACCGAAATGAACAGCCATCTTGATTACGCTGTACATGGCTGCTTGCGAGACAGTCAAGCAGCGAACTATCTGTCTCGACTACCCTCGATCAAGGATGAGATACTGCTCGATCTTACGAACGTGCACACTTCATCCTTCGAGGCCTCAAACGTTGACCCAATCCCACTAGACTCTCCGTAACCGAAATACACAGGTACGATGAGGCTAGCGGGTTTGGGAAACTGCACTCGCCTCCCCAGATACATACACTCAGAGACAGATACGCACATCAAGCCTGCCCAAATCGTATGTCGCCCGCTCTCTAATGCTGAATGCGTGTGTTCGAATGCGCACCGTGCGCACACCACTGGCAACGCTCGTCGCCGAGATGGGGAGCATATCTCGAGAATACTGACCTGGGCACATACTGAAGTGAGATACTGTAAGTAGGGTCTAATGTACGTGGCCTGCCAGTCAGTGACGATATGAGAGATGGAGGGAATAGTGGTATTGAGTCAGGTAAGGTCAGAGAGTGGAGAGTAAAGGAATTGGTCTAGCGGGAGTAAAACTCTTTGAATCGCATACTTAAGACGTACCTTCGAACAGACTGAGACAGGATGATACCTTCACAGCTTTCGATTTCCGACCCATACTAGTGTCCAGAACTCTTGGACGCGATGCAGCGCCATGCTCACTCGCCCCGTCGAACCTTGTCCAGGATATTCATGACTGAATCGGTCTTCCGTCATGGAAAGTGAGCTCGTCCCAGGTGGTACAGACCGAACGTATTCAGCGACGATTGAGCTTTAGGACAGTCGGAGGCCACGCAGTCTAATGCAAGTCGGCCCACTCTTAAGTATGTAAGCAGGGGGCCGCAGTGGCTGTGCCAAATACAGGTGGCGTTTGAGTCGACTTGAGAGTTGCACGTCACAGTGCACCAGTGGCCGCGTTGGTCTCTGATCCTAGGACGAGTACGGTCATGTCATGGAACAAATAAGAAGATATGGTACTCATTTTCGCTGCCATAGCGTCGCCGCCAGCGGCGGGAGATTACCGTTCTCTATACTTACTTATTCTTGTTAGTCAACTTGAACAGTAGTCTCTTACCATTGCCGAGATTCACTCTGACGCATGGGAGTCAACATCAGCGATGTAACGTCGTAATCAGGTACGTGTATTGCATAGTAACTCTACCTTTAGGTAGACTTATTGGGAGTGGGGAACTTCAGAATCGGTAAGGATGCGAACCTTTCCCATCATACGTCTGCATGGCGCTGTTGTCGATCGAAGTCAGGCGTGTAGCAGAGCTGGAGCCTTCCCCCCCGTATGTGATGGGACCGAAACCCCTCACGCGATATATAGGTCGACATTCACGATCAAAGTATGGCAACCCTTTTGGTATGTCACACGATTCTCCATTCTCCACATTGTTTATCCGACTTTGGCAAGGAAAACGCTTCTTCGTTGGACTACCAAGTGCTCTCCACGTATGGCGACCCTGCTGGTCTCCGGACACCTAGGGGCTGCATCCTCAGCATTGCCCCCGGTGCTTCTTGCTGTATCTGTCGATATGTCAATGTGAAGGGAGGCTGACGAATGAGTGACAAGCGCGCGAAGATCGGTGTGCCAGACTCGAGGGTTACAAAAGACGAACGGGGACTTGAACCACGTCTTTAGCATCTTGAACCGGAACTTTCACGACGACATTCGCGACAACTCCCAATAACACCGACATTTACGATGTACTCTCTCGGACTGAACTTCTTCAACGTCGACGCCGTCAAGGCCTTGGTATCTCGCGTCTTCGATGGTGCCCCCGCCGTCCCCGCCGCCTCCGTCGCGCTCCCTGCGTTGGTATTTACTCCCACTCAGACCCTTCGTCCTCCTCCCACTCGCGCGTACACCATTGGAACCTCAGGCCCCATCGAATCTATCTTGGCTGCTGTCATCTTCATCAGTGGTACTCTCTTCCTCTTCGCCGCTGCAGGTTCTTTCACGCGCTTGGAGGACCGCCACGCGTTCTTCTCCATTACCTGGCTGGTCCAGTCCATCTTCTATCTACTCTGGGCTGTATTGTTCTTCCAACTCGAGTCCGCCTGGGTGCTGGCCATCGGCATCTATAAACAAGTGATTAACTCTGGGTGTGCTTGCTTCAACCAGATGCTCATGCCCGCTTTGCAGCACGGCCTCTCCTTCGTACGTTCTTGTCTGTTATGTTTTCGTCTCTCTTATCTAATGGCTTCTCAGATACTCGCCGTATATGGGCTATGCACCTCGGAGGTCCTTACCTCGAAGATGATCACCTCATCGGCAGTCATTCTATATTCCGCTCTGATAGCCATCGGTATTTATCTAGTCAGATCTCGGCGTCGCCTCGGGCAGCGGGTCTCCAAACATCCGTCTCTGTCGTTGGCCTTGGACGTCTCCTTAGGATACGCGGCCGGCGCTATCGTGGGCTACCAATACCCCAACAGCATGTGCGCCCTGCAGGACTCACTCCAATCAGGGAGCGACGTACTCGACATTAAAACTGTAGTGGGCGCGCTCATCCCAATCTCTCACATCCCGATGGATGGCATGGTCATGAACTGCGACCGGTACATGGTTGCATCCCTTGAAGAGGGGCGTCGTCCTACACCCAATGCGCATGGTTTTGAGCAGATGATGCATTATCGCGGCGGCCATTCGCACCCAGTAATCTTCGCTTCCGGACCCATGGACGAGCTCCCCAGTAGTAGGGACGGCTGGTCATTCATCGGGGTCCCCGAAACTCGCGCTGAAGAGGAGGCGATTGCTCGTGCTGCGGAGGAGGCTTTCCACCTCGATCCTGTAGCATTCACCAGACTGGCCACTGAATCGGCGATGAACCCTGTCCTGCCACCACCACCACCGCCTCCCCCCGCCCCTACCCCTGCACCAGAACCTGAGCTGCCGGAGTGCATCGTTGCTGTACTGGATCGGATCGTGAGTTTCTCTTCGCACCTCTGGAGTGATCAGGTGCTGATATGCTGGTGTAGCGAGCCCATGGGTACCGCGCGGCTCCCCGCCGTCGTTACTAAATTATATCGTAAGTCTCTGTGATCCTTGAGCGTGGAAAGGTGCTCACATTGTCGTAGGCATCTGGCATTTCATCACGGTTCAACGTTATTTCATACCGACCTCTACACATATCCATAACATTCACGTATCCGACCATCCTATCTCCACCCTACTTCGATCATAAGTTTATTCAGAGATACAACATGCACACTCTGCCGACTACATTGTATATGTACAACACATCCGTGAGTCTCCTCTTCGTGCGATTTCTCCATGTCTATCTTAACTGGCGCTTTCACAGTTATCTAAGAGACGCCCTCCACGCAGTCCTTTCCCTATCCTCATCACTATCCTACTCCGTAATACATCCACTGTCCCGTGCGGAGCTTTGATGAGGGTCTGGCCAGCCTGAGTCCTTGCGATGCACACCCCTCCCCTCCTCCTTCCCTCATCGTCCTTGTATGATTATGCTTCATATGTCCCTTTTGATCGTGAGTTCTCTGTGCCATGAGTTCGCCCGCTGTCATCGACGTCGCTATGTAGACATTCCTACCAATATTCCCTTTTCATCAGGACAGATCCAGTCGCACAACCTCGGTAAGTCCATCATGGTTGCCAACATCTTCATCTATTCACGAGTCTACCTATAGTTGTCCAACGGAGGCGCTCTGACTCTACGCCACATCATAGTCGTCTTCTGCCCTCAACATCACCCGACGCCGTCTTTGACCCTTCCCGTGCTGAGCTTGGTTGAGGGTCTGACCAGCACAATTCCTCCGACGCACTTTCCCCCCTTTCATCATTTGTACCCGTAAGTCCTGTGATCTTTGGCGAATGAGAATCTCTTACTCACGACTCGTCTAAGATATATCTACGGATTCACCGAAATATGCGACAAAATCCGACCGACATTATGACCCATCACCTCTTCTCAGTCTCTCTGTGAGTACTTTGTTGGATAATATCGTCCACTTATTGACGGGACTCTCTATAGCTAACCAAAGGACGCGCTCTACGCCGTCCGCTACACTCATTCAACTCAATTTCGTCTTTTCCAAGCCCCCACCATACCGACGGTCTTCCTGCGGCCCTTACTCAAGCGCATAGACCGCTCTGTTCCTTGCAATGCATCCGTTCCTCAAGCCATGTATCATTACTGCTTCATTTATGTATTGTACTAGTTTCGGTGAGTTTCGCACTGCCTCGAGGATGAGACACTCTTACTTACGTTGTCTGATAGATTCCATATTTTGATTCTGTGTCTGCACCCTCCATTCCTATCTCTCATCTCAAAGTCTCGGTAGTACGGTGGACGGTTACAGCGCAGAAATCTAATTCCCAGATTGAACGTCACAGCGTATTCTGTGTATTCCCGACTTCAATATACCATTCTGTATTGGATAGTTACTTGTACTTTTCAAGTCTGTATCATGACGCAACGCTCCGGAAGAATAAAAATACCCCTTTACGTCGGATCCCAGGTAATGAACAGTATTTCCGACCCCCGAACCGGGAACACCATAAGACCGCTTTGGACCGCAAGGCAGTCGTGCAACCAATACCACTGATCATCCGACTTCCCTGGCTTAGGCTCCCACGAAGTCGGCTTCAGCGGGAGGGGTTCTGCCCGGATTAAGCCCTCTTCGTCGATCTATCCAAGGCCGTTCTCCAGAAACGTCTGCAGAGAAGTGATGGACATTCTACCGGTAGTGGTCAGAACCACCAGTTCGTCCTTCGGTGTTGATTGAACCAGGTAGCGTGGCCCAAGGGTGTCGTGGTATGGTAACGATACTTCACGCAACGTTGCACCTGTCTCTGCATTGATTAAGGCGGCGCAGAATTTTGAAGGAGCGTTGTAAGTCTCGTCTCGCCATACGGTCACGGCGAGTGGCACGCTGGGACCGCAATGGTAACTCAAGCGGGTCACTCTCCGGGGGAAATGCGTCGCCCATAAGGGTGTCAGCGAGGGTAGCCTGAGGGCGTGGACGGTGCTATGGGCATAACGATACTGGGAGAGTCGGTTTCGATGATGTGAAAGAGGATGGTATCAGGAGATGCTGAGCCGACTATGTCTGGTTGTAGCCAATTCGCAGGGGGACCGGGGGAAGACAGTGCTGTCTCGTGGACCTCGCCGTTAGTGCAGTGCAAAGTCAATGGGAGAGTGGACGAAGGGACGAGTTCGTGTGACGTGGCCAAGTCTCCGTTGTTGCAGATATAGATAGGGAAGATATTTCCCGTATCCGAGCTAATTGTGGTAGGAGGGGCGATTGCCTTGGCTTCGACTAGTCCATGCCCCTGAACATGATATAGCACGACTGAGGTCGGTCTGTCGCGTCCTATGGCAGCTGCTACCCATTCCCCAGAACTTGAACGCCAGAAGGGGATTTCTCCTATGGCCAGCGGTCCCGGAAGCTCTATCTCCTGAAGGAGTTCTCCGCTGGGGACGCTGTAAGCGCGAAGCACGCCATTCCTATATTTGTGGGAAGATTGCGAGCGAGGGCCTCCAGGCAGGTTGAAGCCAATAATGAGCAGAGATGTGCCCGGAGAGAATACAGAGAGCGCCGAGTTTCTCCCCGCGTCGACGAGCAGGGATCGTGGTTCCGGGAGGAAGCTTATGCTGCAGTGTGCAGCCGCGAATGGTGGCTATTGCAAGGGAGGAAATTATATGAAAGATATGGAGGCTCGTACCTAGTTCACTGCGTGTACCATTTCAATGCCTTCGCTCACTTCGGCGTCGTTTGGTTCGAATCATCAATGACATGAGTCCGGTCAGACACACCTCATCGGCGTTCACTGGCAGATTGCCCATCAAGCCCGAGACGTCCACAGGCTACGAGGATGACAAAAAACGGGTATCAAGCAGGGTTTGTCGCACGTTATAACCATATCGGACACTGATTCAGGGTCCTTCAAAATTCGTCAATTACATCGTGGATGAAGGGACTTGGAAAGAGGTGTCCTGCCCTTCAATTTGATATCTGCTCTACAACTCCAAAATTCGCATCATAGTCCCGTGGAAAAGCGAGAACAGTTCCTCGCACAACGGTGAAATACTCGAGTTGCATAACGATACCCTAGGCAAAGAAAGGCTCTATGGAATTTCGAGTCGAGACGACTCTCCCCTGGACAACCCGCGGATCACCGAGAAAATTCTCACGTCCATACTCGCATGAATCGTTGCACTTGGCCGCTGCGAGTGAGCCTCGGAGTCGCAATCCAGTCTTTGCCTTGCACTTGAGGTGCTAGGAGTGGTTGCTCGGACACGGCTGGTCTGGCTAACAGACCCTCTCTGAAGGCCATGAGCCCATCAAGGTCTCCCGACGTACCGCCCTCTCCTGAGGAAGGCGTGTTCTCCATAACGCGTTCGACGGTCATCAACGCGCCCAGGGAGAAAGTATGGAACGTGCTGCTGGACTTTCCGAAGTACAGTGAATGGTGAGCAGAAGGAATTTGGGAGAGGGTTACGATACTGCGGTGCGATGCAAACGACCCTTGTTCTGATACTTGTCCTCGTACTAGGAATCCATTTGTGTGCGTTGCTCCCGTCTTTACTGGCGTCTGAGATGGGCCAATACATAACCTACCCAGACGCGCGCAGACTATAGTCGACAGATCGAAGAAACCTCTGCCCGACCAAACCCCCGCAGCAGGCAAGTACCTGCTCATGTCCACGCACATCCCGCCCACCATGGGCCCCGGCTCCGGCATGCAAAGGCAATCTGCGTTCGAGATCATCACCCATGTCGACAATGAGAACTTCCGCGTCGCGTGGAGAAACATCGCCGCGCCGGCTTGGATATTGTGGGCGGAACGCTGGCAGACGCTCACAGACGCGGGAGAGGGCAAGACGAGGTACCAGACGACGGAGGTGTTTGGCGGGCTCGCGGCGTACATTGTTAAATGGCTGTTCGGGGAGAAGCTGAAGTTCAGCTTTGAGGAGATGGGACGGGCGTTGAAGGAGAGATCGGAGCAGGCGTAGGACGTTACTACGTCCAGAGTTCTTTTGTCTTCGATGCGTGATTATTATGGACGGTAATTGATACACAGCAGATACCCTTAGAGTTCTGGATAGTTGGACACAGACATAATGGTAAACCTTGAAGAATGGACATCATTATTCTGTGGCTGTGGCTGCGGTGCTATTGCGGCTTCTCGTGATTGCCCAGGCCATCGAGCGGCCGTATCTTTCACTGTTATAAGAAAACATGCCTCTCCCACTGGACACAAATTCTCCCTCTCGACTTCACCACACAAGTCTTCCGCACTAACGGAGACCAACGCACTCGATGGCGCCGCCGAAGAACACCGATGCACCCCCCGCGCCCGAGGCGGGCGTAGTCGCTATCAAGCGATCCATTACCATCAACGCGCCGAAAGAGAGGGTATGGGAGATCTTGACGGATTTCTCGAAGTACAATGAATGGTGAGTGCTGAACATATGCCATGACCGGAGGAGGATGGTTCTCTACCAAACGATGCAATCGTCTGACCGATTCTCCATTCGCGCCTCAGGGATCCATTTGCGTACGTCCCCAGTCTCCTCGAATCCCAATCCTCGATAACTAAATGCATCTCATTCTCCAGCCGCGACATGATGCTGACCGACAAATCCAAAAAGCCCCTCAACGACCAAACGCTCGCGCCGGGCAAGCACCTCATCATCTCCTTCTGCATGCCGCCCTCCCTCACCGCGCAGCCCAAGCCCGCCTTCGAGCTCATCACGCACGTCGACCACACCGCGCACCGCATCGCCTGGCGCAACGTCGACATGCCCGCGTGGCTCCTCTGGGGCGACCGCTGGCAGACGGTCGAGGACGACGGGAGCGGCGGCGCGCGGTACGAGTGCTACGAGGTCTTCGGCGGGCTGTTCGCGTACGTCGTGCGGTGGTTCATGAAGGGCCACCTCGAGGAGGCGTTCGAGGCGCTCGGCAAGACGCTCAAGGAGCGCGCGGAGAACCCGAAGGCGGAGGTGTAGGGTGCCTTCGGTTGTGTATTTTGGATTCACGTATACCCTATGATGCTTCGCGATAATTGAGTTATCGTGATACCTCTGCCACAACGTTATCTGCCTTGATAGCGTTTGTGGCGGAGGTATGATGATCATTCAATTCATTGTCGCGCTCTTTTTCTGGTATCTCAATGATACAGGTATATTAACACTAATACTACAATTGCAGAAGAACCCATTGATCCCTATGTTACAGTGCATTACACACATCATAACGTATCCTAAACGTCCCACCTCAATGTCATCGTCAGAGCATCACAAACTCATCCATAGTCCGCTCGTCCGCGTTATACAGCGGCTGCGCCTTCTGCTGCTCGCCCTGCACCTGCACCTGAGGCGGCGGCGGCGGCGTGCGAGGCGCCTCGGTCTCGGGCTCGCTCAGTGGGCTGCTCACCTCTTCGGCTGCGGTCGTAGTTGGAGGTTCCGGGGGCTCCTGTACGACGGGCTGGTGGGCGTGTGGGAGCGTGTCGGGCTCGGCGGGCTGGACGGTGGCTTCGGATTCATCCTGGCTGCTGTGCTGCCCGTCAATCTCCATCATCCCGTCTTTCCCTCCGGTCAGCGGCTCTTCGAGGCTGGGATCCGACTTCGAGAGATCCGAAGCAGCAGGTACGTCTTCGACGCGGTGCGTATCCCCGTCAACCTCCATCCCTCCATCCTTCGGAACGTCCTTCTCTATCGCCGATGGGCGCGACTCGTCCCCGGCAGAAGACACCACAGCTTCCTCCGTACCAGCAGGCTCCTCGACGTTCACTTCCGGCGCGACGCTCGCCAGAATCTCCGGGTCCGCAGGCTCGACCTTGATCTTGATCGGCGGCTCCGGCAGGTCTTCCTCCTCGTCGACGTCCATGGAGCTCGGTTGTGATACGGAGGCCTCTTCGATGTGCTCGACTTCGACGCCGTCGTCGCCGGCGTGAACGGCTGCGGGCGAGGTGACTTGCGGTGAGTGCGGGACGTCGGCTTCGGAGGAAGTGGATTGGTTGTGGACGGCGCCTTCTTCTCCTTGATGCGTCGGGGCCGAAGAGTCGTCGCGCTGATCCTGGGATGCACGAGGTTCGCTTGACTGCCCCTCCGCGGCTGTCTCAGGTCGGTCGACCGCCATCTCCGAGTCTCGAGGTGCCTCCTGCGGCGGCTGTTCCGAATGCTCTCCCGGCACCCCAACCGAATCCAAGCACATCTTGTCCTCCCTCCGCTCCGCCTCCGACTCCTTCTGGAACTCCATCCTCGGCACTCCGTCCTCGACCTCGCGCGGCGTCTGCGCCCCCTCGTTCTTCATTTTATCCATCTGCACCCACGCCGCCCACAACCCCAGGCGCCACTCCTCCACCCGCGTCACCTCGCCCTGCACGCGCCGGACAACTTCCTTGCGGCGCTCGCGCACGCGCACATCGCCGCCGCTCGGCACCGCGTCGAGCTGGCTGAGGAGCTGGCCGAGGTTGTGGTCGTACGCGTGCAGCGGCGTGTTGTTGTGCGTGTACGGCAAGTTCGGCGGGGATACGTCCGCGCACTGCGCCGGCGGGAGCGGGCGGAGCGAGGCGGTGTCGACGCTGACGATGTTATCTTCCGAGGAGGGCGACAGGGCGAAGTCGATCGTCGCGGGGAAGGAGAAGCCGGATTTGAGCTCCTCGAAGCGGCGCTCGATTGAGCTGATTTGTTTGAGGGCTTGGTGCCGCGGGAAGTGCGTGCGCAGGAAGGACTGGATTTTCTCGGCCGCGGCGAGTTGCTCCTTGGTGTATTGGGGTTCTGGGGAAGGTGGCTGAGCAGGCTGTTGAGGGGACGGGGTGCGGATGGGGATGCGGGTGCGTTCGGTGGGTTGGGCAGAGGCAGTGCGCCGCGTTGAGGGGTTGGGTGAACGGGACGGTGCCTTGCGGACTGGGGGAGCCTGCTTGGGCGCGCCGGTGCCCGAGTTCGGGAAGGTGGACGTCGAGCGCTTGTGACCCATCTGCTGTGATAACAGTTAGTACGCAGTCGGTGCATCACTACAACTAACAAAACATGCCTTGTCACGATAGGCCTGTTCGTTGGGGAACATGCGGCCACGGCCATAGTTTCTGAAGAACTCCTGGGCGGCGGCCTCGGCTCTCCTGCGCCTCTCCCTCTCTTCTTCGAGTGCAGCCATCTCCCTCTTCCGCCTCTCCTCCTCAAGCAAACGCCTCCTCTCCTCCTCGAGCATCCTGAGACGTTCCAACTCGCGCTCACGCTCCCTTAGCCGCTGCATCTCCGCCTCCCTCTCCCTTTGTCTCTGCAGCTCCATCAACTCCCTCCTCTTCCTCTCGCGCTCCAGCTCCGTCGCGTACAGGTCGTACGCCCCACCGTACCCGCGCGTGTACGGGTTGGCGTAGTACGGGTTTTCGTCCTCGGGGTCGCTGAGGTCGTTGAGGTACGAGTTGTACGGGGACGCGTACGGCTTGTACGCCTCTTGCATGCGCCGCGCTCGCGCCGCTCGTTCGCGAGCTTCTTCCTGGGCGCGGAGGGCCGCGGCGTACTGGTCGCGGGCGGCCTGTTCCTCCGCCAGGGCGCGGTAGTACGGATTTGAGTACGGGTCCGCGGTGGCATAGGGACTCGGGCGGTAGGCGGAGGAACGGTAGGCGTCTTGGTATGGCGTGTAACCGAACATCGAGTACTAGGTAATCGAGTGTTCGATGTCAGCAAGTGTGTGATGGCGCGCGCTGGTTGTAAGTTGTTTCCGACATTTGGGGCGCAGAGGGCGGCGGTATATATGACCTGCGTGCCACATTTCGAGAGCGTTCGGTGGAGGTGGAGGCGCTTCCGAGGCTCGTCGGTCTGGCGCTGGCTGGAGACGCGGGGAAACTTCGAGAGCGATCGGGCCGGCCACGTGCGACAACGATCGGGGACATGCAGAAGTTGGCATCTCAGCATCAGGACATCTTTGCAGGTTCCATGGCCCGTGCGCGGTCACATGCCCGTTCCCGTGGCGCGTCGTGCTTGTTCGTGTTTGCTTCCCGGCACGGCCCGGCAGCCCGGCAGGTTGAAAAGGAATGACCTTGCGTGATTGAGCACGTTTCCCCCGTGACTTCCCCCGTGATCTCCCCCGCCCCGCGCCCTCGTTCTCGACGACCCGTCCTCGCCTCCGCCGCCGACGACCGCAGCGTCGCCTTGCGCACCCACAAGCAATACAGATTGAATCCAGCCATATAGGCCCTTGTCGTGCCCCAGCAAGCCATATCGATAATGTCATCGGCGCCGACGACGGCAGATGCCTCATTATCCCATTCCTCCGGCAATGCGGCAGGCGCAGCAGGCTCCAGCAGTGGCACAGCTGGCCTCGTAGGAGCTGATGGAAATCCTATACAATTGGGCGGTTTGGACTCTAATCAGATATTAAATCTCCTCAGGCATCTACCGGGAGTATTCAATAAGGTACGCATCCCGTCTCATCGTTGGGACATAAGCGTCGGCGGGATGGTCGAGGATGGGAGGTGCTCTGTAAACCGGTGTCGGTCGGCGAAAGATTACCGTTTCACGTTTGATGTGGAGCTCGTTATGCGTGTGTGGCACGAATGGCAAAGTCGCTATTTTGGAGTTGGACATGGACCATAGCGGCGGGTCTAACATGGTGTTGGCTTCATTATGAATCAGGAGATCAACTCCGGGACATGGGTAAAAAGTCGCTGCCAATATCATCGGAGACAGTCTTCGTCCATCCGCTCCATAATCTAATCAGTCCTAATCAACCCATTTATCCACAGCTCAACAACGACGCCAACCTCCAACAACTCGCAGAGCAGGGCCAACTCAAAGAAGACGCCGCCGCCGCCCTCTCCAACCTCTCCCAGCCGCAGTACTCCGCCCCGCCACCCCCGCCGCACCTCAACCACCAAGTGCCCGTGCACTCCTTCCACCACCACCCGCCCCCGCCGCACGTCCCGCACCAGCTGAACGACCCCGGCCCCTCGTCGCACCCGCGCGGCCCGCCGAATCTCGGCCAGCTCGCTGCAGCCGTCCCACCGGGGCAGAACCCGAATGCGCCGCAGAATGCGCCGATGAGCTCGACGAGGGCGGATATGGAGGGCAATGTGAGCACGGACGAGGAGGGAGGCGGGCAGCATGGATCGGGTGCGGGGCCGACTATGGGCACGCCCGGCAGGACGAGCAGAGGGAAGAGTGCCACTATGTCCCAGGACGAGTGGGCACGGCAGCGCAAAGACAACCACGTGCGTACTCCAACCACCCCGCCGTCATATGAATCCGCTCTTACCCATGTCAAACCCGCAGAAAGAAGTCGAGCGCCGCCGCCGCGGGAACATCAACGAGGGCATCAACGAGCTCGGGCGCATCGTGCCGAACGGGACGGGCGAGAAGGCCAAGGGCGCGATCCTCTCGCGCGCGGTGCAGTACATCCACCACCTCAAGGAGAACGAGGCGCGCAACATCGAGAAGTGGACGCTCGAGAAGCTGCTCATGGACCAGGCGATGGGCGACCTGCAGAGCCAGCTCGAGGACGTCAAGGGCATGTACCAGCGCGAGAAGCAGGCGCGCGAGCGCGCCGAGGCGGAGCTCGCCATTTTGAAGGGCGTCCAGGAGCGCCTCGGCGCGGCGGGCGCGGCTGCACTCGCTAGTGCCAGCGCGAATAGTAGGAGCGGCGAGAATCAGAATGCAGGCGAGGAGCCGGGCAGGCGCAGACCCAGGGAGGACGAGGGTGCGGAAGGGAGTGGTGGCCAGAATGGCAACGCGGACCGCGATGGGAAGAGGCAGCGGATGGAGTAATTTGGATTATCATTATCTTGCCTTGTCGCTCCTGAATGTCTTGTTGTCATTGTATTGTGCTATAGGGTTATGGTCGATATGTCGGTTAAAGTGTGTAGTTTGTATATGTACGACTAGGATGATCAAACCTTCAGTCTCTCATGCTTCCGTCAGTACAGCAGCAAGCAACAGAATAGATCTTTATCATTTCAACCTGCACACGACGCAAGGCGGGTGTTCACAGCACATCCACCACACCTCTTCGAGGCGAGATGATAGCAACGACCTTCCCTTCGAAAGACAGCAAATCGCCTCCCTTGGTAGCAACTATGTCACGCAAAATAGGGCTACTCTCCACGCCCAGCAGCTTTTCGATGTTCCTGGACGCCATCGCATGTGCGTCGGACTTGCTGATGACCCCGCCAGACGCTAGCGAAATCTGGGAAAGGAGTAACGTCAGCCGAGTATACCCGGAGACCACCCCCAACTCACCCAAGCAGCGTCGAACCTGGCGTTCCGAGCAGCCCAGGTGCTCATGACTCGCTCCCCAAGGACCCCCTGAGGAGCTATGCCTACGGTCACATTGTGCTTGAACAAGGTTGTGATCAAGTTGTCCTCTGTAAGAGGGGGGCCAGGCAAACTATACGCATAAAAATGTCAGACGGCAGTCCGATGCTCTGTAGACCGGGAACAACTTACATCCTCCTCTGGTCCCAAGTATACGGCGCGGACCTTACAGGAGCCACAACAACACCCACACCTGCGTCGGCGATCTCAGGAGCAAGGAGATGGGCTTCGCTGGCGCCGAGCAAGGTGAGCTTTATCGGAGTCCTGGTTTCCGCCTCCACTTCGCGCTTGAGAAGCAATAGCGAGGAGATGGTGTCTGCACTGTTGGTCTTCACCACGAGCGTCGATCGTCCCTGCTCCGCCGATTAGTTAGTCTATGGCGCTCAATACGAGAGTCACTCCATACCTCTGCAACCCGCTTGAAAGCTTCGCCGGACATCCCCTCCCCTTTACCCAGCAACAAGGCGCGCAGAGCAGCGATTTGGGTGCTCACACTAGGCACAGCACTGGAATGGTCGATCTCTACATGCAGCGCAGCCTCCGCCTGAACCACAGCGCCTCGCTGGAGCTTGTGCTCAGCCCCAAGCGAGAACGAGACGCTTATCCCTCCTGCCGCGAGTGGAGCAGTGATAGCCGTAGTAACACCTGAGCGGTACGCCAATCTGTATGCGCACAACATCCACGTCAACGCAGGAATGTCAGGTCATCCCTGAAGTCAAAGAAACTTTCACGTACAGGGCATCCCGCGTACCGAACTGTAGCCCGTCCACGGCCTTCGCCAGTATTCCCTCCTCCCCCACTCTATTAGTGATGCCTAGTCCAAAAGGGTCCGGCGCCGACCCATCCGTTGTCGATGGCTCCATCGCAATTTCTTGCAGACCAAGAGCCGTGCCTGCAGCTACGAGCGCGGGGGTGAGAGTGCCACCCTCCAGGTCAACCACTTCCACCTCCGTGCCCTTGTAAACTGAGCGGTCACAATCAAGCCCAGAACAAACGATACGCCCGTCCTCGACTACTACCGTCCCGCCCGCGACATTTAGTTTCATCTCATCCCCGGCCCAAGTACTCGACACGTTCGTAAATACCACCCGGCCCCAGACGCTCCTCGGTTCCAAAGGCGGCAACCCCTCATAGCGCAAAGTCTCCTTCGCTTCCCTGTCGAAGTTGGGCGTTCTGGGTGCAGAGGGCGGTGAACTATGGACTGGAAGGTGATCTAGACGAGTGAGCTGCGGGATTCCGTCCACCCATACCTGCATGGGAGTTGCGCCCAGTTGGAGGGGGTGTGTGTCCCATAATACAATGTCAGCGTCATAGCCTGAAGGCCATTGATTACGTCAGCAGATGCAACAACTTGCCCCTGCCACATGAACGAGGCAGCGCGCACCTTGCTTGATGAAGCCGAGCCGATGGTCGAGCCCCATAGCCCTCGCGGGGGTGCTCGTTACCGACTTCAGTGCGACATCCGCTGGCAGGCCCCAGTAATGTGCCTGCTGTGCCTCGTGCAAGAGGAATCGCGAGACGATGCCAGGATTGTCGCTCTACCATGCCAAAGGACATTCGCACTCGGATGAGGGGACGACATGATGAAGCGCACCTTCATGACGACGTCCACGCCCTCGTCTGCGAGTATCCTCGGAGCAAACTCGGAGTGCCGGTAGGCCTCGCGCTTGTACCTGTGGGCGGAAGTACTCAAGAGTGAGCATTGCCATGTACCCATCACCTATCGCCTTACCTCGAGAAGGTGGCGAACATCGCGATCGCAGGCGTGTGCCCTAAAAATAACAAGGTCAAACGGTGCTTTCACTTAGAGTCAAAAGACAATGAAGTCACCATATGCCCGCTTCAGTACCTCGGGCACTAAGTAGGCCTCATGCGCGTGGTGGAAGGCTGCGACAGGGAATTGGAACTCGTTCGACAGCTGGAGTATCCCCATGCGCACGATCAGTCCAACCAACTGAACATCTGTCTTATGTCAACGACTCACCCTAACAAACGCATCGATGTCGACTGCCTCGTAACAGTGCGTCTGTACCTTCACCCGTCCCCGGAGTACGTCCACGAGCGCCTCCCACTGGAGATCCTCTGGGAACGGTGAAGCGGGGAAGGTGCCGGCGAGCGCACTCTTGCAGTAGGTATCCTGCGCGGATTTGAGTTTCCGTGCAGTTTCGTAACTAGCGGACAAAAGTGTGGGTGGAGAATCAAAGGAAAGACTAAATAGACGCACGCCTGCCGCATTTGCCATACGGTATCCATACGTGTTTGCGAGTAGACACGGGCTGGCGGCATAATTAAGAGAGCAGCACGCAAGCTGGATAGTACATACCTGGGTTCTCGCCTTACATAGAAAAATAATAGATGTCATAAGACGGGGGACAGGTGCAGAAGAAGCGACTGACCGCATGCATGTCTTGCGATTCCAACAGTATATTGGTGACAGTTCGTTGGGACATAGATCCATATTTTACTCACTTCATATGCCTCCACCTAGGCCGCGCTGTCGGGTCCACGTCCGATCCATTGATTCCGAACGGCGGTTCCACAAGCATGGCCTCTGGCGACCTCTCGCTCGTCGGCCTCAACTTTATCACAAATGCCTGACCACCAATAGCATTCGCCGATCCAGGCAAGATGAGCGAAGTTGTGACCCCACCCGAGACTGCGAGGCGATATACATCATCATGCGTGTTGAGACCATCAAGGGAGCGCAGCCAAGGGAGAATGGGCCCGTGGAATGAATTGCCGTCCGCTGCACCAGCGAGATTAGGCATGGGCTCGACGCCCACATGAGAATGTAGATCGACTATGCTGAAGGGACGCTCAAGTCGGGCGCGGGAGGGTTGGCTGGTGCGACGTACCCGGGGGTTACCCATGCTCCATTCGCCTCCACCACTTCCGTCTCATCCAATTCCAGCGCGTTCACGTTCCCCACAGCTCTTATGACACCCTTATCCAGGTGAATATCCCCCGAGATAACTTTCTTTCCGGACCATATCGTGGCGTTCCGGATGAGAACAGGCTTCCCACCGAGACGCGGGTCGAACCTGTCGGACACGGTTCGCTTGTGGAACTCAGCGGGAGGACCCGGAGCGAGACTTAGAGCGCGGCATTTGGCCAATATTTCATTGGCATTCTGCGGAACAGAGCCGGTGGGCGCGTCGAGGGAGCTGTACCAGAATGGGAGCAGGCTCAGGGAAAGCAATACGAGAGCCAGGACTCGGATGGCGTAGCGCGTCTGCTTTCGCGCGGCTACCAAATGATTGGGTAGCTGACCTGTGTCGGTGTCAGCGAGGGTATCCATCATGGGCGGTGGATTCTCTCTCCCAAAGTGACGTTTCGAGCTCGTCTAGAATGAGACAGTACTAGTGAAGGGCACATAAGGTTAGGGTTAACAGGAAATATGCTCAATATCGTGACATTGATAGCGCTCAATACTGTATTCAATGCCGACAAATAATCATGATGTGATGGATCTCTTACGAGCCGCCGCCACTGCACTATCCAGACCCAGTAGCAAGCTTGGACACAGGAAAGGTCTGAATGTGATGGGTCTGCTGGGTGTCAGGGAGAAGAGCCTTGTGCTGCCAGTGGTAGAATGCTCAATACATTCTTCCCCCATCGACGTTTTGGGTATGCAAGGGAGAGTATACTCGTGGAGGCCTCGCGGATTCTCCGTGCCTTTTACATACTGCGCAGAACATCGACGAGAAAGCCCCCGGCTTTGATCTTGGGCTGCGCCAATTGGTTGCATTCAAACCTGACGCCCTACATTACAGCGTAAGTATGTACCTGCGCGAGGAGAGTGAAAAGGTGTTCAATTTGACATCATCTATCTATGGGGATTACATCTCATGCTACGCTGGGCAGACTGCTCTAATACATGATTCGGGAATATGTCGGTACAGTTACAGGGGAAGGAAATGCAAAAGCTTGTCATGTGTAGGATTTCCGATACAATAATTCTTGATCTAATATAAATCCAGGTACGTAAGAAGCAGGAAATGGTGACTCGAGATAATAAACTGAAGACTTTCTTCTAATAATACATACACCCGGAGATAGGGAGGCGAGTATGAAACATGATTTGAAATTGAGTCGAATGAATGTGAAGGACGGTGAAGACCAGTCCGTTGGACTACAGGGAATGCATGAGCTCGTGCGGAAGGGGGAACAGACCGAGGACTTACGAAGGAGACACAGAGACCGGAAGAGAGGCTTTCGAGACGAGCACTGGACAGAGTCGAATGAACGTGGAGGACGGTAGAGACACGTCCGTTGGACTGCAGGAGACGGTAAACACACGTCTGTTTGGACTAAAATCGCACTGTGAGAGACCAAGACACGCCTGACTCAAGGAGGACTTACAATGAGTAAGCCAGACGGAGACGCTTTTGCTAGAGGTAAGTCGGAGCACACCAGGTGCATCCGGTGGACATCTAATCAATTGCATGAGTTAGTACGCAATACATGTGAACGCGATGAATATACTCACCGAGCGAAACATCGATACAGCAAGATGGAAGCATGGAGGAATATATAAATACATGGAGCGGCGAGAGCGGGAGGAACGCGTCGAGAGCGAGAACGAACGATGCATCTATCTTGGAGCAATTAGTGAAGTTCAGAAGGCACACGACAGGGAACGTACCGATAACATAGCCGAAGGTAGCAAGGGGTTGTGGTGGAAGGGAGTTGGTACCGGGATGAGAGCGGGCCCTCCCTCATTCCGGAACCAAAGGAACAATGATGGATTACGGAGTATATATGATAATAGACTGGACTGGGAGCGGCGACGGGAGAAGCGGAACGCGCCGAACGGCTACAATCTATCGACCGTCCCGTTAGTACGGGATGGACGTTAACACGAACGATGCACTCACCGAGGAACTACGAGAGAACCGGTGTGGGATTTTCGGTGTTTGTATTTTCTGTGTGTTTTAAGGTCTTGGATGTTGTCAACTTTTTTTACGGCTTTTCTACGTTTGGATTGTTTTGTGGCTTATAGGTATGTCTGAAAAAGAGATGAGTAGAGGGTCCCAACCAGCAGTGCATCACGAAGGACGTACGAAGAGAAAACCAAGACTGAAGCAATGTCCCTATGAGGAGGGTATGTATTACGGAGAGGATATATCGAATACCGAAGAAACGGTGCCGTCCGCAAGAGCGGATCCGGTGAAGACTATGAAGAAAGACGTAAGCAGGCGACTTTCTTTGAGCAAGAGGTACGACTTACCGAAAGTGAAAATGACGGGTATACAGAAAGAGCGGACGGTATGCCCCCGAGGGCATCCCACATATATCTATCCAAGCACGGTTAGTATAAGACCTTGATGTGCGCGATGGATAGACTTACTATGATATAATGTTAAAATCACAGCTCCACACCATCCTCGGCGCGGAGCAAGCTGTCGAGCGAGTCGGAATGTCCAAGCTGGGAACTCGCCTGGAACTCCTCTCCAGAGATACGGTCCCACCTCTTCGAGTTGAGGGCGTCATGGAGAGCTTGGAGGGACCCATGGCTTGGGAGGGCGTCCTCGGCCTCGAGCTCTTCCGCGTGCTCCCTCCAGTTCCACTTCCGGAAGTTGTGCGGGTCGCGGTGGAACGCCTTTTCGGCTGCGCATGCAATCTTCTCCCAAAGGTGGCGAGGAGGAGCGTTGAGCCTACCGTTGCCCTCGATGGGCTTGTAGTCCGGACCGAGGGTTGGCAGACGAGCGCAGCCGCTGGAAGTGTCGTATACGAGAGCTTCGCGCCCAGAGATCAGAACGCCGTGAGGGAATAGAGCGCACACGAGAGGGGGAGCAGGCCGTTTCGAGTAGTCTTCAATTTCGACGCTCATGTCGCATTCAGTGAGGCCTTCGTCTTGATCAATCTCGGCAATCGTATCCAGAGAGCTCCCAGGGGGAGGCAAGACGGCCTGGGTAGACTCACTGGTGGGTTGCAGGTTGACAATGGCAGGATTGGGAGTGGAAACGATCTCCTCCACCTCTTCGAGAGACGCTTCTTCGTCGTAGTCGAGGTCCCAAGGGTCACGGGGAACCGGAGGAGGGCGAAGCAATTCATTCTTCGGGTCCTCCGCCCTCATCTTAGCTAAGTCCCTAAGAATATCTGGCTCGTCATCGGAGCGGTCCCCGTCATCGTCAGAAACGGTACACGCGGAGATGTGCAAGGAGACAGCTGCCATCGACGGAGAGTCGGTGAAAGAGGGCGTGGAAGGGAGCGAAATGTGGTCAATGAGGAAGCCATAGTGGGGGCCAGTGTCTCCGCCCTGGGACGTAGCGTCGTCGATGTCGATGTGAGCGTCCTCGAGCTCGAGTCCCACTCTCTCGCTCTCTTCGATATACCTGGTAGGAGGGTTCCCGAATAATCCCGTTTTCGCATGTCCAGAACGCAGCTGCTTGGATAATCAGTACAGGCGTCTCCCAGATTTTAGAGCAATCAACATACGTTAGAGAGAACCATTTGGGAAGCCCGGGCGTAACCCGTAGTAGCTGAAGAGCCTCGAGTGCAGAGCCCCAACTCCAGCAGAATCAACGCGACGGCCAACTTGAGGTCGGATGTCCATTTCTGCATATGGTACACTGTGAACCAGACGGCAATCACGGCAGCAGCGACCAGAACGAAGAGAGTGATGAGAAGGAAGGCCTCGTTGCCACCACTCGAGCCACTCAGGTCTTTGATAGTGACACCCTGGAGCTACGTTCAGAACATACAAGCACTAGAGAAAGCGTACGCTTACGAGAACCACCCCATAGTTGAACGCTGGAGCGACCATCCAGCCAAGCAGCAGTCGTGCAAACCCCGCCGACACTTGATACAAACGAGATACTTGAGCCGATGCATCGTCTATCAAGGCGAGTGCCAAAACCAGGCACACGTAGCGAGTTAAATGAATGATAGTCTCGTTGTACCACTTTGAAGGTCTTTCCCCGCGGAGTTTGAGAGGACCGACAGAGGAGAGAAGGAGTGTCGATCCGATGAGTAGGACTACGAACGCTAAGAGGGCGTCGAAAAAGCCGAAGCTTCCGGAGATATGTGTAGAGCTAGGTGGTTCGCGGACGGTGCGAGTAGGCAGCAGGAATGTCTTGACCATTGGAGGCGAAGAGTCGGAGACGGGTGCAGAGGGGGCGCCGTCGAAGAGGCGGACGACAAATCGCTTCACGGCGGCGAAGCCGAAGAAGCTAAAGTCGAGAGAGAACATGGATGTGGATATTGCTGTCGGTATTGTGGTGGTGATGGTCGAAGATGCGGATAGAGCAGGTTGGCGAGCGGACTCGCCTTTTAAACCACGACGGGAGGCTGGCAATGGTTTTTTTGCGCCGTTGTCAGTCAGCGTCTCTTCTCGTCAGCCCCCAGCAGAATGCGAGCGAGGTCTGGCAACCAGTCCGCATCGCAATGCCTCGTCGCATTCGGGACTCTGCCAGAGGACGGCGTCTGAGACTGTGACACGATGCAACTTTCTATATGGCGGCACGAGCATCCATCTATCCAAGAGTTTGCCCTGTCAACGCTGTGAATGGGTGAGCGAAGAACGAGGACACCTAAGAAGAGTGTGACTCACCGAAGGGACATATCGATCATTCGATAGATTTCCAGCCCTATAAGTCAGGATTACATTGGCCTGTTTATTACCAAATCCGCTCTCGGAATTGTGCTTCAGAGAAACGCGTTACATAGAGGTCAGAGGTCGTACAGTTAGTCTGGTCTTCGATCCGCGGCCACTGCTAGTGACAAACAGTATCTATAACAAGCACTCTCGCAAAGACTTTGGATGAGTGTGCACTGGAGGCCGTAGAGGTCGCTAGCCGAGCCGAGTATCACTTGGATGGTGCTTCTCATGGCGGTATTTGTGTATGCTGCACTGTACCACCCCTTTCGACTGGCCACCAACGACTCCAGACCTCCAGGAAGGCGGTTCTTCAAGTTAGCATCGTTCTCTGAGGATGCACTCATGCTTAGCCGAGGAAAAAGCGTACGTTTCTTCCTCCAAGAACCTGCAGAAATTTCGGAGAGGGGGGGGCTTTCCGAACTGATTTACAGTGTACATGTACGACAACACGCTGAACTCGAGTAATCTGTGACTACCAATGCACCGCCACCGCACTCGGAAGCAAATCGTCGCACACGTCCCCTGTGTGACTGCCAGCCCCTTAGCCTGCCTATATCCTTGCGGTGTACATCCTCGTCTATGAATCTTTGAGTACGCTCTCCAGCACTGTCTGGACACTCTTCAAGCTCTGAAGAGCGGCGTAAATTTGTATCTGGAGGCTTACATTCGGCCCGTGCAGCTCATGCCTCGATTTCTGGCTGCTCAGATCAGCCTTCACTGTGGCGCACACATGGGCTACTAGGGAGAGGACGCGTTTGTTGGTAACTGGTACGAGCAATACTCTCCCTAGAAGAAATAGGCGCACCGCGTCTGCGTGGAGGGGCGTGTCGCGTCGGGGAGGCATCAAGCGTGCACACTGGGAGGTGTAGACCGAGATACTGTCGATGCGGTTAGTTAGAGGGACGACATGGATGAACACTTATGGATGCGTTAGATTATTAGGGGACTTGAATCCGGACAGTCGGTAAGATCAGACGCAGAAGAAAGAGCACTGAGTTCCCATGCGGGCACACTCCTCTCACCGTACACACGCTTGATCCCTCGTGTGCCGTAGCATCCTCCATTTTGTTAGAGCTTGTTTAGCTGTGAACCTCCTCCACTATTTCTTCGGCCCCTCTATGTCAAGAGCCGAATGTGTCTGCATTCCCTTCAGTGTCCCTCCTACGCTGAAGTGAACCCCCATCTCGATGGGATACTCAAGTAAAGTGAGTCCAATGCTTCCTCCGGACCGTGCATGCACTATCCCGGTACCGCGCTATCGCACTCGGTACAACGTCCATATCTCCTACACCTTTCTGCTCGCCTGTCTCAGGTCAGGCGCCACCCCGACTTGTGAACCAGTGAACCCCAAAAAGTCTCCAGGAGCAGCCCAAGCTAGTGAGCCTTGACTGCGTATCTCAGCACCTCCATGGCTGGGAGTCTTTTCAAGGTAGGTCAAGGTATATTACCAGTTTCACATTGAACCCTCTGCAACCCAGGACATTCTTTCGCATCGACCTTTGGGTATGTACGGGAGCGCGAGTACATCTTTTCAGGCATTTCTGAGTTCCATACTACCGCCCATCATCCGTGGTCAGGTTTGCCTTCAGCACCTGTCCTCTATGACGCAAACTCATACTCGAGCACCAAAGTCCGTCGCCGGCACATCTGTGCGCGAAATAGTGTGAGTGGCAAGCTTTTCCCAGCTACACGAAGGTCACTTCGTCGTCCTGGATCAGGAACGTGTCCCCAGTCCTCGGCTGTCAAGGGTTCATATTTGAGGTCTGGTAGCGACTGCTGGTACAACGACGCAGTTCGTCGACGAGGAAGCGCCCGACTTTGTTCTTGGACTGCGCTGGCTGGCTACATTCAACCGTACGTCCGAACATTTCAGCCTATGGACGTGCACGAGGAATGCGAACGAGATTTTATTAGAGATTGTCTACGAGTATTACATCTAATGATATGAGGGGTGGATTGATCTAATATAGTATTATACTGATACACATTATATGATACACGCCCATTGGGAGTACGCCGGTATAGAATGAGACGAAATGTCTACGAAGTGTACGAGTTCTGGTACGATGAGACTTAATCTAATAAATTCAGATACGTAAGAAGCATGGAATGGGTGACTCGGAATAATAAGCGGAAGACTTTCGTAGTGATACATAAAAAAATCTGAAGAATTCGGGAGGCGAGCGAAGAAGAAAAACAGAAACAGAGTTGAATGAATGTGAAGGACGGTTAAGACCAGTCCGTTGGACTATAAGGAAATTAGAGCTCCTGAGAAAGGAGGAAAAGACACGAGGACTTACGAAGGGAGACGGCAACCAGCAGAGGGGCTTTCGAGACGAGCATTGAATAGAGTTGAATGAACGTGGAGGACGGTCAAGACACGTCCGTTAGACTAGAGAAGGCGCATGAGCAACGGAAACGGTGAAGAAGACAGTGAGACTTACAGATAATAGACCGAAACAAGGGAAGAGAGACATGATAAACGAGTGTCGGAGAGCGTAACAGGGCCTCCATGCGTACGTAACAGGGGGCAAAGAGAGATAAGAAGATATTGAATGAACGTGGGGGACGGTAAAACATGCGTCCGTTGGACTTAATGGCACTATCAGATACCGAAGGACACCTGACTTCAAGAAAACTCACGAGAAATAAGCCAGTCAGAGATGTTTCAGGAGGAAGTAGTACGGAGCACACCAGGCGCATCCGGTAGATATCTATCAATATGATGAGTCAGTATGCAACAAATGCGGACGCGATGTAGGGCTCACTGAGCAAATATAGATACAGCGAGATGGATGGAACGATATGGATGCAAAGACATAGATCGGCAAGAGCAGGACGAAAACGTTGATAGCAAGAACAACCGGTGCATCTATCATGGAACAGTCAGCAAAATAGTCCAGAAGGCACGCGACAGGGAACCTACCGATAACATAGCCGAAGGTAGCAAGGGGGTGGGTGGAGAGGATGCGGTACCTGGATGAGGGCGGGCCCTCCCTCGTTCCAGAACCGAAGGAATAGTGGTGAATTACGGAATATACTATAGGTAATACTTGAACGGGGGGCGGCGACGGGAGCAGGCGCACCCGCCAAATGGCTAGGGAGAATGCCCGGTAAGCATTGCACGATATTAAGGTACACGGACACTCACAGGAAATGGAATGAATAATGAGGGATTTGACAAAGTCGTCAACCTCAGCTTCCTACGAAGAGATCGGTCGAGACGAACGGTTGGCAACAGGGACCGGGGGATAGAGATGTGAAAATGTTTGAATGAGCGTCGTGGACGACGATGCGTCCTTTGGTAGCTAATAGAAGTCGTATCACCAAGGACACTATAAACGACGAGAGCGACTTACTATGAAGGTAAAAGTGGGGGTATATGAAAAGAGGGGACAGGACACATCGTGCATCCTAGGTGGTAACTACAGGGGCATTGGTCAACAAAGAAAATCACCCGAGTCGATCGTGAACTTACTGGAATGTGATACATAGATTACAAGACGACGCCCTCCTCGACGCGAGCCATATCGTCGAAGGAATCCGAGTTGATGAGTCGGCCGCGCGCGTGGAACTTCTCTTTCGTCAGACGACCCCATTTCCCGGAGTCAAGCGTAGCATGCAGTCCTTGTAGGGATCCATGGCTAGGGAGAGCCGTCGAAGTGGAAGAACTCGAAACACCCTCGTCCAAGGCGACGCTCTGGACTTCGTGACGCAGCAGAGCGAGCTCCCAAGAAAACCCGTGGAAATCGGTGGGGTTCCGGTGGAACTCATCCTCGCATACGCGGGAGATCGCGTTCCAGAGCGGTAAGGGAGCCATGTCGGTCCACCCCTTGCCCTCCATCGGTTTGAAGTCAGGGCCAAGGCTTGCAAGCCGTGCTTGACCGCTAGAACTGTCGTAAATGAGTTCTTCGGTGCTTTGCTCTCTAACGGGTATGACGAAAGGCGCGGGAGGAGTCGGGGCGGCAGCCTGAGGCGTCACAGGAGCGCTGGGTGGGGAAACTTGAGGAGGGGCCAGGATTCTCTCCACCTCGTCTTCCGAATCGTCACAGAAAGAGTTTTCCGGAGACGTTGGAAGCTGGAATTCTTCCTCAGAATTAGAAGCAGCGAAACGAACGAGCTCATCGCGCAGATCCGGGAACGACGGATGGGTTCTGTCAACTGTGCTTGCCGTAGACTCGCTCGAAACGACCGAAGGGGACGACGACGAGGCAGCGAACTGGAGGACAGGTACCACGGGACTAGGTTCGACGGGACGCGGCGAGGAGGAGAGCTGGAAAGTGCGATCCGCGAGAGTAGATTGGACTACGCCTTCATTGCGAGACTCTTCCTCTGGAACGGGCGTCGAGGACGAAATTGGGTGGGGAAGGGCCCAATTCAGCTCGTTGATGCGTTTGTCGGCAAGACGTAAATCTATCCATGAATAAAGGAGGGTTCTTCGCGCTTTGCTCTGCTCCTGACGAATATCTATATGCATGGAAATGAGAGATGTACTCACGCCGAAATAAATAAAATACGCACCTTTGT